TTGTTGTAGAGGTGAAGACAAAAAAAATACATTAGTTGTTTTAGCATTCTTTGTTTCATTTAATAAATCCCCTGCAGAGCAGTATTTGTGTTTTCCTATGGCAGGATTAAACATACACTATATTGCCAAAAGTATTTGCTCACCTGCCTTGACTCACATATGAGCTTAAGTGACATCCCGTTCCTAATCCATAGGGTTCAATATGACGTCGGTCCACCCTTTGCAGCTAGAACAGCTTCAACTCTTCTGGGAAGGCTGTCCACAAGGTTTAGGAGTGTGTTTATGGGAATTTTTGACCATTCTTCCAGAAGCGCATTTGTGAGGTCGCACACTGATGTTGGACGAGAAGGCCTGGCTCTCAGTCTCCGCTCTAATTCATCCCAAAGGTGTTCTATCGGGTTGAGGTCAGGACTCTGTGCAGGCCAGTCAAGTTCATCCACACCAGACTCTGTCATCCATGTCTTTATGGACCTTGCTTTGTGCACTGGTGCACAGTCATGTTGGAAGAGGAAGGGGCCAGCTCCAAACTGTTCCCACAAAGTTGGGAGCATGGAATTGTCCAAAATGTCTTGGTATGCTGAAGCATTCAGAGTTCCTTTCACTGGAACTAAGGGGCCAAGCCCAGCTCCTGAAAAACAACCCCACACCATAATCCCCCCTCCACCAAACTTTACACTTGGCACAATGCAGTCAGACAAGTACCGTTCTCCTGGCAACCGCCAAACCCAGACCCGTCCATCAGATTGCCAGATGGAGAAGCGCGATTCGTCACTCCAGAGAACGCGTCTCCACTGCTCTAGAGTCCAGTGGCGGCGTGCTTTACACCACCGCATCCGACGCTTTGCATTGCACTTGGTGATGTATGGCTTGGATGCAGCTGCTCGCCCATGGAAACCCATTCCATGAAGCTCTCTGCGCACTGTTCTTGAGCTACATGAAGTTTGGAGGTCTGTAGTGATTGACTCTGCAGAAAGTTGGCGACCTCTTCGCACTATGCGCGTCAGCATCCGCTGACCCCGCTCCGTCAGTTTACGTGGCCTACCACTTCGTGGCTGAGTTGCTGTCGTTCCCAAACACTTCCATTTTCTTATAATACAGCTGACAGTTGACTGTGGAATATTTAGGAGCGAGGAAATTTCACGACTGGATTTGTTGCACAGGTGGCATCCTATCACAGTTCCACGCTGGAATTCACTGAGCTCCTGAGAGCGACCCATTCTTTCACAAATGTTTGTAAAAACAGTCTGCATGCCTAGGTGCTTGAATTTATACACCTGTGGCCATGGAAGTGATTGGAACACCTGATTCCAATAATTTGGATGGGTGAGCAAATACTTTTGGCAATATAGTGTATGCACTTTCCCAAAACCATGCACAGGTCCTCCACCCATAGACAAGGCCAATTCAAGTGCACTGAAACAACTTCTGCTCTGTGATTTAATTAATACCAAGGCATCACCTAAGAAAACACGTATTGTTCTGACATGTCTTTTTTTGCTTTTTGTAAAATTGGGTGGAATGAGGTAGTAATATACTTAATCAATGTGTCACAATGTCAATGAGGGGAAAAAAGGGTAACATATTTTTCCTTCTTTCGATCAAATAATTATTTTTATTGATATAAACAGTAAAACTCTGTATTCTTCTGCAGATTTAGATCCTGCCTCAGTAAATGGCAACATTTATTATATCCCTTTTGGCTTGTGATTATTTTTGCGCTTTTTCCACGCTTGATACACGACTCTTCCTCTTTCTTTTTGCATCATCCATCTGATGTTGCTGACTGGCTTTTCTCCGATGCTGAAGACGTAAGGCTCCATCACGTCCCTCAATTCACTGCGCTGCACACTGAGATATTGCACGTTGCGCTTGTGCAATATCACACCTTATGATCATAGGATCTTATTAAGCTAAAGTAGAGCTGAATGATTTTGCCAAAAATTTGAAATGTGTTTATTTTTAACGAATATAGCAAATGTGATTTTATTTAGATTTTCGTGAGTTTGAAAATTTGCTTGTCCAGACTTGCTTTCAGGCCTATACTGTAACATTTTTTTGTAAAAAAAAAAAATGGTGCTTACTTTTACTTGTATGCATGGATCTTTGTGCTACTGTAGCTGCAACTCTCTCTATCTTTTGTGTGGAGGCAATGTAATGTGACCAAAATGAAGTACCTCTGCGATCAGAAAATTGCATTTTGTTAAAGTGCGATTATATTGCAAATGCAATTAATTGCCCAACCCTATGCTAAAAGTACACAAAAGTGCTTTTTGTCATTGTTACAAAAACATATTGTTATACTCAAAAATCAAGCATGATAATCCAACAGGCATGATAATATGAATGCAACCAGAGAGAGCTACCAGTGGAGTGACTATTCCTCTACAAAACAGCTAAAAGACTGAATTCCTTTAAATTAAGGCTGAAAACCCATCTCTTCATAGCTGCCTCTGAATAGTAGCCCGCAAAAAAATCCAGGTGAAAAACCATCTCCCTATGATTTTTACATGTATGTGGTTGTTAATTTTTTAATACTTTATCTGATTTTTAAATAATTTCTGTCTACCTAATTTTTGCTTTTAATAGTTTTATTGCATTTTTTCTGATGTTTCTTTATGCGAAAAATTGCTTCAAATAGCATTGCCGCTAGACTGTGCTTCAAATACCCTTGCCCCTAAAATGTGCTAGACAAATACATTTTTACTTACTTACTCTTCAATTTAGCTTTGATAAAATATAATTTCTATGCAATACCTCTATCTACATTCTCTCTGATGTATGCCCATGTATCAAGTTAGTTGTAAATCACCTCGTCACCTCCTCCATTCAGCTCCACATCGGTTAATGAAATATTGGTTTAAACTCACCTTTTTCTTCTGCTGATCACCAGCTTTTATGATTGCTCCCGTCTACTTGTCTTTATATGTTATGTAACATAAACCGAGATCTACCCCTAATTATTTAGGAGGATTAAAGTTTGTTGTATGGTTCTTTTAACTATTCCTCTAAAATTATCTTGTTTAGCTGTCTCCTTTTGCAGAGGCAACCAAGCCTGAATTAATTGAAGATGTTTAGGTTTACTGCTGGGCTTGTTTCTATTGATTAAACTTTCACACTGGATGCAAAGTATTTAATAGGTACAATGTTGCACCCAGCCAACATGAGATCATTTATCAGAGGGAAAATTAAATGCATTGCAGGCTCCCAGAATTCTCCTGGCCTGCTGCTAAATCTTGCTTACAAACGCAAGACAGTCTTGTGGTGGCAGATTTCCTGTTTAAGACAATATTTCTGCTCATTGCAAACCGGAAACCTCACTTGTCAGGTTGTGGAGGACACTATCACAAAGTTTTAATCTTCCATCAAAGCCTTACCTACAGGCTGGAGTCAGATACTCGCCAGATGTGTACTCCTTGCTTTAAAACATCTGTTGAAGTATGAACTGGAGACATTTAATTTTGTTTTAGTTTTTTTTCATATAGTTTCTTCTTCTCTTGTTTTCTCTTCATCAATATCAGTTATATCGGGTTTTCTTTCCATTAATATCAATGTTGGTGTTGTCTCTGTGTTGAGCTGAGGGGTGACCGTCATAGACATCAGTGTGGGTGATGGTGTAACACCATCAGTAAGGCTGCTGTTACAGGAGTTCCCATTATTACATTATCACAATATTGAATCTGATAAGCATAGAATAGAATAGAAAATCTGTGAATTGTCCCACAATGGGTAAATTCTGGTGTTTACAACAGCAAAAGATTATAGAAAAAAATAGTCACCCAAATGTGAACCTTAGAAAACTGCATAAGAATAACATTATAGTGAAGAGTTAAAAGATAAACAATAAAATACTGCACTGTAAAATGTTTTAACAATATAAATACTGTGCACATGGAGAATAAATAACCAATATACAGCTATGGACATTTTAACAGTAATGGATATCTGAAAATAGCAACATTAGAGATGTGCAAAATGACAGCAGCATGTTATTTAACCGACTAAGACAGAAACTGTGCAAAAATCAGCATGAATGTAACAACTTATTTAAGTTGTTGGGAACAGTGATGGTTATAGAGTCTTCCAGCTGCTGGGAGGAAGGATGTGTGATAACGCTCCCTGGTGCATTTAGGCTTCAGCAGTCTGTCACTGAAGGAGCTCTCCATCCAATTCAGCAACAGCTTCATGCATGCGGTGGAAGACATTATCCAACAGAGATATTATTTTAGTTAGGATCCTTTTATTTCCCACCTCCTGCACTGAGACTAGAGGGCATCCAATCATAGAGCTGGCTTTTAGGTGTATTTTATGTATTTCTGTGGACGAGTTTATTTGGCTAAAACATTTGTCTCTACTGGAGGGCATTCGAATGGCTTTAATCCTCTGCATTATACAGTCTCTTTAATTTAATATTTTTTCAGTGTGGATTATCTTGACATTAGGTGGAAATGTAGGTTTGTTTATTTCTGTACCAACATCAAGAAGGCCAGATTTACAGACATGATTTACTGCAGATTATGAGATTACTCTCCAGCATAGATATCATGACTGCGTTATGTAAAAGTTGCATTATGTTAAAGTAAGCTTTAAGTATCTCTGTTATTGAATGGCATCTGAGCTCAGTTAAGGTTTATTTTTGACCTAATTGTGAGCGTCATGGATAGCATTCACACTTAACTTTGTTACCTTCATTTGGAGATGGCCTAGTTGTGGAAGGAAGTCACTTACAGCATGCGTTCATTTCAGTCCTTGAAATGACTCTCTCATCCTCTGACTCTTGTGATGCCATTTTCAAAGATGTGTGTGCTGATGACTGAAGTTTTAATAAAATCAAAAGTCAAAAATGATTTTTTTTTTTTTATAAATTTGTTTTTAGAGCCCATATTCTGCAGTCAAATAAACTGAGTAGAAGCAAAATGATCCTGCTGGCCCTCAAAGAGGATTACTGTAAGATGATTTCTCTGCCGATCCATTCATAATTGTGTCTTCTCTCCCCACCACAGCAATTGCCCCTGCTCGCTGGCCGCCGCTTTGGCCAGAGCCACAGCAGACAGCCTCCTTCAGTCCGACCTCTCCATCCACAACCTCAACAAGACTGTAGAAGATGGAGCTGACCCATTACCACGTGAGTCCTCCCCCGGGAGCCCACAAGACTGCTCTCTCAAACAAATTAGGTCTCCCTCTCACTTCATCCCACACCTACACAGGCGTAAAACCACCAGGGCTGTGTCCCACTTCTCCATCTCAAAGTGCATTAAGTGGGATTTGACCGCTAGAGGGCATGAAGGAAGCTCAGACTCATTCCCAGCTGGAAGCTGGAACATAATGTAACAGGACAGAGCGGAAATTTTCAAACATGCTTCAGTTATATTCTGCATCCATGGGGTCAAATTTTCCTATAATCCCTCTAATGATGTCATGATCACTAAATCCAGAGAGTAGGAATGGATAATTATATAGAATGAAGATATATCTGTACAGTGATTAACAACGACAGTTTCTAAAACATCTAATGTTGAGTTTTATTTGTAAAAGGTTTCCCTCATTTTAACAAATTAAGGATTTTACTGTTAATATCATCTGCAGGCGCACCATTGGTTTGCAACTTTACAATGGATGAACAGGAAGCAAGAATCTTCTATTTGGCTCAGGATTATATCAAATTCTGTTTTGCATTTTATGTGAAAAACCAACTGAAAGTAACCTCTCATTGTAAAGATCAGAGAAAATTATAATTTCAAAAGTACAAATCTGCAACTCCTGAATGCTTATTTGTTTTGGCGTGAGTTATTGTTAAAAATCTAAATAAATCTACATTTGTGTTTGTAATCTGACAAAATATTCAAAGCCTCCAGAGACGTGGATACCTTATTAATGCTATACCATTTTTGTAATTAGTTACCGGTATTACTGTGAGACGGAGACACCAAAAGGCCAATATTGCTGTTTCTAGATGTTTCCTTAACAAAAGTCTTTGGACTTTAACTGTTTTAAACTTTTTAGATTCACATCTCTGGAGATATGGGGAAGTTTAGTCTGGGAGCTTTTTTTTATTTTATTAATTTCATCACTTCTAAAGATCAACACTTATCTGTTCTACTTTACTAGCATGTTTTCTCGTTTTCCCATTTTAAACAGTTGGTAAAAAATAAAGACTTAAAAGTTTCTAAAGACTCTTATTAACACAAAAAATATTAAAGGGATCCATGACTAATTAAACACGTTGGCCTAAATAGCCTGCGATTTTTCTATTACCTTAAAATTTGTCATCTGTAATACACAAAAATTTTTTACTCTGAATTAGTCCAAAATGATATATTTTAATTTTCACCCATAGATCTCCCCATTTTTATCCTGTGCAATGCATGCTGGGTTAATAGTTTCCAATAGTTGAAGCGTCATTGTTTTTATATTAGGGCTGGGAAATGAATTCCATTTGCTTTCAGCTCTGCTGGAGTTGACCTCAGTCTCTTTATTCGTTCGGCAGCTTTAATGTTGCAAACAAATATCAAAATGTGTGAATTCTGGACATTTCGGACTAAATGAAAATTGGTCCGTTATTCTTTAATTTCCAATTTTGACTTCCCCCTCTGGCGGTTAGGAAAAATCCACATAAAAGCTGCACCTTCTTATAAGCTGCATGTTTGAAAGCATTGGAAAGAAAGTAGTGGCTTAAAGTCTGGAAAATACGGTTAACACTTTTTTACACAATGGTTAAGGTAAAGCCCATTAACAATGGACTCTGGGCAAGCAAGCTTTCAAAAGCTAAAAGCCTGGAGTGAAACATCTATAAGCTTGGGGTTAACACAAAAGAAAATCAAAATAAAATTGCATTTGAAAAGTTTTTGGCAAATTGTTCAGCCCTATTTTATAGACATATATTCTTTAACAGAGCAGTCATATGAAACAGAATAAATGTGCTCAAGGTAAGGATTATTTTAGTAGAGCTCGGTGATACTACTGCAGTAGAAAATGGATATAATATTTTTACTTATCTTTAAAAAAGGGAAAAAACAATACTATTGTTCATGCATTTAGTTTTTAAATCGGATATTTTGAACAACTGCTGATATGCCTTTTTTCCCCCCGAAGTGTGATATTATGTTATTTATAGCACCATAGCGTGGACATGTGGAGGCTATTTTTAGCTCAACACCAGTATCAGAATCTGCTTTACCTGCCATGATTGTGTGCACAGTCAAAGGATTGGACTGCACTTACAGCATTTGTAAAGTAGAGACTGTAAAATTAATAAAAGCAGGGATAGAGGAAGAACTATGAGCATGTGTCTTTTAGGGCTGCACTTAATATTTTAGTAAAACATGTTTTTGCGATCAATTATTCTTATAAGAGATAATTTTTGTGAATTATCGTGCATCAATAAACAACTGTTTGAACATAAAAAGAAACAGGCATTTATTTGTTGAATAATTTCAGTGCATTGTAAATGGATAAAATGTACAAATAAACATTCATGTTTACTGACAAAGAATGTTTCGCATCTAAAATTCAGTGTAGATATTTGTCATACAGTTTTGGCTTAATTACTGCTGTGAGTGGATGGTTCTTTTAGCAAATGTTTTGTTTTAGAGTCTGTCTATTATATACATATATAGAATGAATCCTGACAATTGTACCTAATTATTATTTGCTTGGCATTTCTGGCTGAGACACCTCTGACGGAGGGTTTCAGGGTCATCAGCCAGAGCCCTTCTTTAATCATTGTTTAGCTTCACCATCCCCAGAACATTTTGAAATAGAGGAGCCACAGTAGTCCACTGGAGATGGAAGTCCAGTTGGATAACACAGGTTGAAGAACCTGTCCATGAGGAGCAAGCATGGAGCGACAGTGGAGAGGAAAAACTCCCCATTGGGAAGAAACCTCTGGCAGAACCAGGCTCAACATGGCGGTCTTCTGCTGAACCGGTTAAGATGAGACAGGGAACGCAGTAAGAGTCCGAGAGGAATGACACTCTGATGAAGCTTTAGCGACGATGGTGGAGGTGGGTTGAAACGGGGTAATCTGAATGAATCACAGCTCATCTGCCCACAGGACCATACAGGTGCGTATCGAAGGCCTTTTAAGATGAGCTTTGGATGCCGACTGGCTTTCATGGAGGTGTCATTGAAAGCTGATTGGCTGTGACGCAGGTGGTTTCTTCAGTTGAATTTCGGCCTAGGCTCCATGTCACATTGACTGCAGGGTGGGCAGATCTGTGAAGATTTTTTTTTTCACTTCTGTCTCTGTGCTACACACAAATTAAAAGAATTTGGGGCAAAATTGTTCAGCCCTAAATGAAACATTCCCTTTCCTTTTTTCACAGCAGCTTTTAGAGGTTTTTTTAGTATCTTGTGCAGTTTAAGTAATAGACTGTATTCACAAGGGATCCTCTAAGCGTACACATGCTTTTAGTGTGGTCCTTTACAAATAAATCCAACTTTGTTAATTATTTGGGGCCAACCTGTTCTGTGTCTGTCATTTTTTTCCAGAGATGGAGTCAGTGAAGATGGCCCGGCTGGTGTTTAACAGACTGTTTGAGACATGCTGCCTCTGGCAGAAGGAGCTGCCCTTCCGCCGCCGTCCACAGCCGTACTATGAAACATCCATCCACGCCATCAAGAACATGAGGCGCAAGATGGAAGACAAGCATATCATCATCCCTGACTTCAACTCACTCTTCAACATTCAGGTAAAATTTATGCATGCAAATTAGAGCATTCACTTGCCTGATTTATGTTTGTCTTATCATTAGCTAACTCATATAGTTCACACTATATGAGTAAACTGGTGGTTTATTCCACCAGCAATGTTCTTATAAACAATAATTATAACTAGAAAATTTCTAAATAAATTTTGAGGGGGGCCACCTACTGCCCGTCTGGGTAACTGGGCCAATACGGCCCTGGCAAGTGACATTGGGGCTCCCCAGACCAACTGCTTACGCTTTTGAGGGCTGCTGAGGGAAGGAAAGAGGGCTAGGTCATGGGCAAAGAGAGCTGTG